AATTGAGAATTTCAAATTGTTCAACGGGTCTTATTTATAAAGTGTTTGCGATCAGTATAGGTAGATTTAAAGTTATGGTTGCTTACAGTGCTGATGATTAACTATAGATTATTAACTCAATGTAATTGTAGATTTCGGCAAACGGACCCATGGAGTCGGTATTGCAACGTGTTACTATTATTGGTGAAATTCTGTCATTTCGTTCTCTTTTGCACGCTGCGCTGCATGATGTACTCAAGCGTCGTTTACCATTCTTGCTGTCGATTGTAAATGATTTGCATGATACTGCCAACGAACATAATTTATTGGTAATTTCATATAATATGAAGCTCAAATCACACTTGAAAAAGATTTCTACTTTGGGTACAATTGAGAGTAGTCGTATTTGTTAGAATGCTGGAAATTTCGCTTGCGTATTCTTGTATAGAGGCATAGAAATATTACAATCTTTCCGTACTCGTCGTACAATTCCACTATATTATGTTAGTAAAATTTGAATAATTTAGGGCTTTATGCACAGTCTATTTCCATTAGTATTCTGTATTTTTTCGTTCGATAGCATAAAAATTAAGAAACATAAATTATCATATTGATTTAAAAATTTGTTGAAATCCCTTACATTTAAGATGTTTCAGATGCTGTCAGAGCTCTGCATGGCTGTTGGTATCAATACGGATGTGGACATTGCATTAGTCCATGCTATTCGAGCTCAGACGAAGCAAACGGAACCCGATGAACACTACACTTTGTCTTGCCTGCTTCTTGTTTTCATTGCACTTTCTTTACCTCGACTAGCTCTGACACAAAATAGTCAGTACAGTGCCTCGCTACTAGGTCGTTTCTATTTTTATCTTGAATTTGGAATTAGAAATTATTGCAAGTTTATACAGCTTTTGACGATACTAGCGCGCTGAATTTCGGAAGATTTATCAATTTAAGTTCACAATACATTATGCATATTTCATCTTACTAAATACTGAGTTTGCAAAAGATTATTAAGTACATGAGTCTCTATACATCATTTTCCGCATTTAATTACAGCCTCTAAAAACAATTTGCAATGTATAGCTCTGGCAGTATCAACAGTTGCAAATGCCTTATTTTGTTTGCATGGTCGTAATGATGTTGTTGAAAGAATGAAAGAATTCTTAGCAGTAATTTTTAATTTGTTTCTTTGAAATTTTATCTTTTTATTGAATCTTTTTGTATTTTAATGGTACAACGATTTAGTCGCATTAACCCGTTCCTTTTCTTTCAGCTGGCATCAAATGGTCTTCTAAGAATGTCAGATGATAACAGCGAGGTGGACATGGCGAAGTCACGACAGTTTGTTTACGTTGTACTTGATCAAGTAAAACATTTTTTAAAGAAAATCTTTATGACTTCACTTTATTTTAAATTGGTGTCGTTAATTGTTCTGTTTAAAAGAATGTATTCGTAACTAGGGTATCACTTCTCAGATTATTTCTCTCAATAGCACGTGTCTTGTGTATCATAACACAAAATATGAAAAGAGATGGCTGCTCAAGGAGCCTGTTATATTATTATTGATAATGCTATAGTGTTTGGCACAATAAGAATAATGGGAAGTAGTGTTTTGGGTTCGGGTAGTAATGCTATCAACTAGAGGAACTCAACTGAAGCGTTTCTGATGTCATTTTTTTATTCAAGTAATTTATATATATTTTTCAGTTGGTGAGATGTAGTCCATTTTTATCGTTTGATCTTCTGGAATCCTGTTTCCCGTATAATCTCATCCGGTCTTCGTATCAGTACTGTTATCAACTGGAGGAACTCAAATGAACCATTTCTAATGCTATCTTTGGGCACACATGATTTCTGTCTCGTTTAGTCTTTCTCTGCCACCTTATTTGCATTTCATGGTTTATGTTTTATTTGATTGAGCAATAGCGTTTTTTCACTTGTATTTCATTTCTGCTTTCTAGATTATGAAAATTTCTATTTACTGGTTGTTGGATGTTTGGTTTAAAAAAAAAAAAAAAAAACCAAATTCTTTTATGGTTCTCAAATGATGCATTTTACAGTATTCTGGTTTCTTTGGCTGTCAAAGTGGTAACAGTCTGTTGTTATTGGTACTCACTACTTCCGTTCTTTTATTATGATTTATATTTGATCACTGTTTTATAGCAATTGTTAGTTTATTTGTATTCAATTTCTGCATTGTTTGGGCTTCCTTTTTTCAAAGTGGTTTATAAAACGATAAAATAACTTTGCAATAAAACAAATTCGCAACAAAATAGACTTGTAAACATTAAAAACACTCAGATCTGCTTTCCTAATACGTGTGAATATTATTTAGCGATAACATAGATGGTCACTTTTCTGGTCACTCATGTCTTACTTTGGCAACATATATTTTTCAAAGTTGATTATGAAACTATAAAATAACTTTGCAATTGCTTTATTGTTTGTATAATAGTGTTGCTTTGTGGTCATTTCTAATATGTTGTAATGTGTATCGTTTAAACTGAGTCAATCCCTGTCAAAGTAATCTTTTAATTTGCGAAATAAATGAGTTACTTTTAAACTGTTGGATTTGTTTGTTATGCACTATACTTTAACAACGGTTTCACGCTGTATATTGTGTACAACAGATATCTCAGTCTTACTGACGTTTCAGAAGAAAGAGGTTAGGTGTTTAAAAGAGTAGAATGTCTCAGGTTTATAAATAGTAGAAAGTTAATTGTAAGTTGATCTTAGGGGACCTCAAGTTCGTAAGGATCTCACACTAATGCTATAGTTCGAGCCTGAGATAGCTTCCCTCTTTGCAAAATAAGTAAATGGCTTTGGTGATATTGATTCCATTTAGCTTTCCAAGGACGAGTAAAGTTCTTCACTCCCTGATACTATATATTCCATGCCAGAATGCAGCACCACAATGATTGCACTCGACAGTTGTACTATCTTGGTGTCTTGGATAGATCGATAGTTGCTGATTTTGGTTGCTCTGGGAGGAGTTCGAATGAGCAGCGTTCTAGTGAAGAACGGTTGATCGATATCATCGAAAGTGCTCAACAGTGGGGTAAATTACCGAGTGATTGGTCAAAATGTAGACTTGTTTCTGTTGATGTTACAAAACATGGTCTCAAGGTATTCAGTATTACATCCACTATCTAAAGATAATCTGGGATTCCTGATATGATAGCTTTTCTATTGTGATCTCTCTACTTTCGCAAAATTTTTATTGTTAAATGCAATCCTTTTTAGATCCTTCTAAACATTGAATCTAAATTTAATCTTTCTTTTGCTAGATGCATAATTCCCACTTTCTTCCTTCTTTTTCTTTTCAGTTAACAGATGCATCCGACGGGATGGTTCTAGATCGAATAGCATTATTCCACATTGTGCAGTGTGTTTCATATGAAAATGGTTTCGGTCATTTTTGCGTGGTTTTTTTGGTCCAAAAACCATTAAGTAAGAGTATGCAGTGTTATGTGTTCCAAACTAGCGCTATCTCAGATGCCGATGATGTCTGTAAGCAATTGGGAGAGGTATTTAATGCTGCAGTTAAGTGATAAAGTGACAAGTGTACCAGTGATGCGCGATCTAGTCAGATTAACGTTGTGAATCTGTTTGCGAAAAATAATATGTAACCATTAAACTATTCCTTTTTCTCTGATTTGATTTATGTAGTTCTCGAGATTTTTCGTAAAGATATTAGTTGGAATGATGATATTACCGCTGTTGTTGAGAAAATAACGATTTTAAGATAACGATTAGGCAGTATTATACAACGCATGTACGTGACAGATGGAGAAGACGCGGACATGTAGCGGTGCGTTTTTATATCATCCTGGAAGTATACAGCTTATTTTAGTATGATTATAAATCGAATAGTCTTTTTCCAGCGTGGACATTAATGGTGACAGGTTTCGTGGAACATTGTTCTGGGACTGCTTATATAGAAACTGCAAGACGGATTTCAATTACGAATAGTAGTAGAGAGAATAAAGTATTCCAAACAAGCAACTGTATTTATTTTCCCTGCTTGTTATTAATTAATCATCGGTAACAAGTATGACAGTCTCGTTGTTATCGTTACTGTCATTAGTATTAAGTAGTGTCATACTAATACAAAATGGTTGCAATTAATAGCGAATGATAAAGTATACTGACATTGTGTTCACCGAAAATGATTTTCTACAACTGAAATAACTGTGTAGAAAATGATGGCCATTTGAATGTCCCGCAAAATTGGTTGTGACCACAACAACGAGCGGAGTGATGTGCGACATGCTTATTTCGAGAGTAATTGCAGTGTGTTAGGACCTTCTCGAAGAAATGTCAACAGCAACTTCTGATTCCAAATGAATTTACTTCTGCAAGTTATAGTCCCGATGATAGAACTCTCTTCAGTTTCAATTACTCTGATTTTTGTGCATTTCTATTACCAACAGTATTCATATAATTAGCATAATCCCGATCTATCTGTTGGTTTTAAATTATTAGCTATTAGATGACAACATAGCCACAACAAGTGTCCGTCTTACAGTATCATTCAATTAATAATATCCTTTATTCTCTCATATTAACTAGCCATAATAAAATTGCTTTTCTCTGTTTAAAAAATTCAGACAAATCCGTAAAATTCTAAAAAATTCAATCTTTGGTGTCAAAATAAGCGGTTGCTGTTGCGTTGTTTCGCTCCTTCCCACATTTTCTTTCCGATTTATATTTTCCTCTCCACAGATTTTCTGTTCGTACAGTTGAAAACAGTTGAGAAATAATATGATAAAAGCGTATACTATTAGAAATAAGCTAATGGAAATAGTAACATAAATCCATCTGCAATACACTTTTCAGAGTTAGTCGATCATTTCGAAATTTATTGAACCTCAAGTTTCATCGAATAATAAATTCAAATTTTTGTTTTACTTCAAATAAAAAGAAAAGGCATTCTAGATATTCGGAATTCCTTAAATTTTCTATTCAATCCGACTCGTTAGACGTGATTCATTTGCTTCGATAGAAACAAAAATTCAATCATACCGTATTGCGATTATTATGCTATCCTGAATGGAAGTGCACCGTACATGCATGGAAGCTAAGATAGGTTCTACTGATTTCGGTTGAGCTTTTGTCTTCTTCATTTCAATCGCTGTATCTTCGAGAATGATGCTCTGTGCTGTTATTTGTCTCTAGAAGCGCAAAAGGACAAAGACAAAAAGTGATATGGATGGACAACACGTTCGTTACATTTCCGCTCACTTACATGCGAACTTTTCGTAACGGAAAAGTTGTCTTATTGAATAACTCAATGTGATGTGATTAGTCAAACATTTTTGAACAGTTCTGCAGAATGGGAGTTCGATTTGTTGTTAGACTAGAAAGTCTTTAAGATTTTCATGATTTCAATTAACTGATGCAAATTCTAAATGTTCAAAACCATACTCACATTTAAATGGTCGATAATTTTTCAGTAATGACATTATTCAAACCCTCCATATGATTTCTTGCGTTGAACAGGTCATATTTTCTAGACGTGTTGCTCAGGAAGTCATCAGGTAGTTCCAAGTCTTGTCCAGTCTACTAATGGTTTCATTTTGCATTTCGAAAAATTCTCAAATTATTTACTTTCGTCAATTTTCTCATTTTAAAAAAGAAAAATTTTTTTTGGAAAAAAAAACGCACTTGTATGAACACCTTTTTAGCATCTGCTACACCTAGAACAATACTAAAATTGCTGTAGAATTCTGATTCCAAATCAAATTCTTTGACAATTTCGTTGCTGAAGTTTACCTAAAATTATGACCAAATTTTTAACACTTTTGTTCTCTATGCATTTTCAAACCTAAATTTGTAGGAAATTTCAATTCAGATTAAAAGTTTGTATTATGTTGGAAAATTTTGACAATTAACGAAACCGACTACCAATACATCTTCACTAGTTGTTATTGTCAGATTCATCTGTGTTTGAATACGCTTCGCCAGAATAACATATATATGTGGCGGTTTAGTATCGTTTTGACGACATCCTTCCAATGCATTTTAATTATCGAAATATTCAACCTGTTTTAACACTAAAACAATGAAAGATTGAATTTATAATTGCAATCGATATTGTAAATGAAATTTTTAAGGTAAGATATGACATAATAAAAGCAACCAGATAAATTTAGACATAAAATATACGGCTAATTTGTAAATTAATATTGTTGTTTATATCTAATCTCCACTGATCAGTGAGAATATGATCAGGATCACAAAGTGCTGATTCAGGCCATGTGTGACATTGTGAGAAATTTAAGCGTGGATCCGGATATGTTTTTGATGTCCATCCTTCAGTATCCGTTCGTAATACTGTACCGGATGATAATATCATTGATAGGAACGATAACATCGGCTGGTTTTAGGCTAATAGAATTTTAAGTATAATTTTTGTATAACTAACTGTTGATTAGTAGGTTAAAAATTCTTTAATATGGTAAGATAATTTTAAGTCTGTGAGATTCATATTTTCGAAGTTTACCGTATTTAAAGGACTATTTTAAATTTAGAATTTTTGACTCTTAATCAAAAGGTTTATTCTTTAGGTATTTTTATTTTTATTTTTTTTGTTTTTTATATTTTGTTTTTAAATATAATTGGCACTGGATTGCATGGAAGTAAGTCATGTATAACTTCTTAACATAATAATAACCATCGTTTGATTTCATAGTTCATCAAAAAATTAAAGTGAAACTTTTGCATCATATTGCTGAATAGCTAGAAGTGTGAACCGACTGTTTCTATTCCAATCATTAAATACACATTTTGCATCTGTTCATAGACAGAAGTTTCAGAAAATAATATTACGTATTGTTTATTTTATATTAACTGTAGTCAAAAATGTTCAATCATAACGGGGGGAAAATTGAGATGGTTGACAAATAACTGTAAAAACAGGTCAACATGTTACTGATTATTTTATTACCCTCTAATGCCGTTATCTTTCATGAAATCTCAGCCTTACAAAAAGATAAAAAAAAAAAAAAAAAAAAAGAACTTCGACCGATAATGCAATGCTTATCATGTGCTATAACAAAAGAGAGTAACAGGAGTTGGATTTTAGTTGTGGAAAGTTTCAATAGCAAAAGTGTCAGCAGTGGTAGTAACAAGCAGCAGATGTGATCGGCATTGTCAACGAAACGGTGTAGACTTCAAATCATCTTGCCGCTTGTTAATGTACCTCAGATCTCTTAAATCTAGATCTCGATTGAAGTTCACATTATTTGTATCAATTCTTTGTGTTGCACTAATTCTCTTCTTGGGCTTTGAACAATTTATTTATTCAAATTGTTACTCATTCTCTCTTCAACATTTTTGAGAAGAAATAGCGGAAAATTGAACATTTTAGCAATTTCACAGAAATATATGGAGAATTTTTAAATATTGCCGAAGCATGAATATTTAGTAGATACAACAAGAATTTCCAAGTGGATTTGCAAACTATGTAATGACGGAATTGGAAATCATTAATGCAGTAAAATATTTTCGGGCATTGTCTCTGATTCCGTATGATAAAATTCAAGATGACCGGTGAGTAATGAAGCAAAAGGGTGATATTCGACACTCGGGGTCTTAATACTGCATGTGTTTTAACAGTCCGGATCATGTACATCCGAAAAGTGGAATGCAGAAGGATACAGAAAGACGGCCAGATAGCGACCGTTGCTGTTATTTCAATTCATTTCAAAATCAGTTCGATTCAAAATTCTATCGCAGAAATTTAGGTGATGACCCAAAACATTATATGTTGTAGGAGTGGTAGGAGTGGAACATACATCCCACGATCTCTGTTTAAGGCTTTGCTCATTATCATTCGATCCCTTCTCCACGATCTCTTGTCACTTGCTCTGTTTTCACCTGTGTTTGGGTGAATACTCAATAGCCTAATCTTCCAGGCCTTTTACTCGTCTTTTGCATTTAAGTTTGTTCAATTACCTGTCGATAGCATTTCTTCAATGCTGCGTTTGCACCTGTTAGGTTCCATTTCGTTTACGCTTTTCTTCTCATTCAATTCAATTAATGCCGAGAAAACAACTAGAAATTCAGGAAACGTGCAACAAGAAGTCTCTTCCTTTCCTAATGCAAGTGAGATTATGTCGATTTTTAAATTTATATCTACACATGTATTGCATATTTCAGTTCATTTTGTGGAATTAGCCATCAACGACCCATCTTGTTCTTCTTTCCTCTCACTAGAAGTACTATTTGTTAAATAAATTTCAGTTTTCGCATATCAGTTGTTGATCAGACAAATAAAATCATGATACGTAGGAGCAGTTAGCTTAACCTTCTCAAATGATTTCCTTCATATTGGAATCTTGTGGAAACTGGTTTGAAAGAATTTTGAGTTATACAAAGAAATAGCGAACATCGATGAAATTAACTGACCTCATATTTAGTGTTTTGCGAAAATCGTTTGACTGCCTTCACTGTATCCGACAACAAACGCCTTGTATCGAGCAATTCTTTAGTGTACGAAGATGTTTCCGAAGAAGTTTGTCTAAAGATGTGCAGTAATAATAGAGTAAGCCTTTCAAAATTATCACATTGTAAGGAATTCAGAATTTTCTTCTACTAAACTTTCATCAGATTTTTTTCCTCATTGTTATAAATTCATAACATCCGATTCAATATTTCGCTTTTTTATTCAAAAACTTTTATAATAAAATATTTTCTAAAAATCAAACTCTTTCCTTAATATTATGAACAACAAATTATTTACAGTATTCATAAGTGGTCATTTCAGGATAGGGATGGCCGAACAATATTTTGTGCATCGGTAGTTTATGACCAGACAACCTTTGCATGCACTATTTTCCGATCCAAAAGTTATCCGGAAGGTGACTTAAAAATTGAAACTGTTCCAGGACAACGACTCTTCGAGAAATTTTGCCTAAGTAACCAATTAATTCAATTTCCTGAACATCATTTGTTTAACAAAAATCAATTTCTCTTCATCCGGAAAAGCTATTTACATTAACGAAATTTCCCAAAATTTTGTTCAGCTAAATTTTACCGTCCGTTGAAGAAGTTAAAATATGAGCGACTAGTGTGTAATGAGTGTTGGCCGTAATATGAGACAATTATTGTAACCGATTTCAAAATTCAAATAAGTTCAAATTTTTGAATATGTGCTCAAAAATTACTTTCAGCACATGAGTTTCCTTGGATGGCAGTAAAATTTAGGCTATAACTATCTATAAAGAATATCATCAAATTTAATAATTAATAGAAATATCTGAGTCATTTGAAAATAAAACTGTTGGAAAATTTAGAAAAATGAACTGATTCAATAAACTTGTCCCTTTTTCATTTATTATAAACAGCTCTTTCTGTACTGAAAGGCATCTGCCGCAATACTTCAACAAAAATGAAAGCGATCTTATATCAGTGAAATGGAAATAAGCAAAAAAAAAATAAAGCTTAAGATGATAAGAAAAGATTACAGAAGATGCACCGATCGAGTGTGCAGACAGTCGGTTCCTGAAGATTGATCAGTCGGTCATCATTGGATATGCAAGAAATGTTTCACTCGCAAGATCCGTTCAAGAATGTATTGAACAGTGCCTCGCCGAACATTTCCAGTGCAGAGTATGTTGTCGTTTACACATTGCATATCCTCAAAAATACCGAAAATCTGAGTGCATTTCCCTCGCACTGAGAAGAAATCTTTTTTTTGTCTGTGTCAATCGATGGTAGAACAACACTTCAGCTGAATGAGTGACCCAATGAATGCATAGGTAAGATGACGACGTTTCTAAAATGATACTGGTTACATCTCTCATAATTTCATGTGCCTACTGCTAATGTTTCAGTCGGCAATGTACTTCTACGCGGAAGGTGAATGCATAACGAACACCGAATCAGCCATGACTCAGCCAGCATCATTTGCCCGAGAAGAAAATGATAAGGTTATTTACATACAGAATGGCTGTCCAGCAATATTAGCACGACAAAAACAATTGGAAAACTCAACAATAGCAGGTTATGGGCATTCTGAACATTCTCATATACCTTTTCGGATTACATAAATGCAGTCTGGTTCTAAGCAAGCATTTTAATTTGAACACAAGGACACACTGCACTGCTAGGCTATTTTTACAGTCATCTGTGATACTCTCCCGACATGGAAGTATTTTGTGTTGTTTGCGAGGGATGAATTATTGTTCGGTTAAAGGTTTTATTGAGTGATGTCATAACACAATTATCAGGGAACATTTAGAATAGATCTACAGATTGCACTTTTTTTGAGATGAAGTTAATTCAGATTGTAATTTTTTTTTTTTTTTTTTTTTTTTTTTGGGGGGGGGGGAGAAGGGAGGATTGAGATTGCAGCAATGGGTAAGATGAATCCAAACGATTGTTAGTAGGACGTGATCAAGTAAAGAAGTCCAGGAAGTGACTTGTGGATGGTTCTAATTCCTTATATTTATATTTACATCATGCTGGTATAATCTTGTCGGAAATGAGAAATTTGTGTCAAAAAAAAGGGCTATGTAAGTTATCAAGCCGGAATTGATTTCAATGAACATAAGCTTGAAACAAAGATGAGAATTGAATTAATGATTCAAATACATTAAAACATCAAAATATTCATTTACCTTTAAGTGATGAATCACTTGGCTAAGAAATATTTGAAATGCTATAATTCTTATGGTACAAATTTGCATGTTATGAATTGATTTAAATTATTACAAGATATTCCTACAATATGAAATACTTTCATTATTTAGACATATTTACATTATAAAATTTATTCGGTTAACATATTTTTAAAACATTATCATCACATAAGCCTTCATCTCATCTTCCTTTTTAGCTGTAAAATTATCGCCTATCGCAGCAGACGACCATATCGAAAACGTTAATGATAATAAGGAAGAAAATCCGTTGAAGCAACGAAACGACTTGAATGATGACGTTTATAGTGAGAGTTACGAAGAGCAAAGTGACAACGCAATCAGGACAAATTTCGGAAATGTTTCCGCAGTCGAAGAGGCAACAACAGCAAGTACCATCAAAGGAATGTCGAAAATGCTGACGCGTAATTTGAAAAAACTGAGAACTGATAGCGGTACCGTCAGCTTCAGTAAACGTCCCAAATCACTGAGACAAACAAAGTTACAGGTTAATTCACCAAAATCACCGGTGACCTTTCGAAAAACTATTACTACTACCGTGGTTGTGTAACCGAATGCTTGATATCATATATAACCATATCAATTTAACGCAGTACACAGGGAAACCTATCATAAGTTCTAATGCTTTCAGTAACTTTCATAAAGTATGGAAGGCTTGAAAATGGATCCGTGGTTACTGTCTAAATTTTTCGCTGGAATGGCATTATCCACT